ATCGTCACCGGCATGGCGGTTGACATCGCCTGAGGCATTGCTGGTGGTGGTGGCGGCATGTTCACACCCCCGTTGGCGGCACTAAACTCATCGAATACCAGCGAGTAAATATCAGACATCCATTCATTTCGCATATTGATTGACGCTTGTGACATGTCAGTATGAATGTACTGCTTCGTAAGTCGATCAATTACATCGTAGAAACGGGCAGCTAGTTGGTTTTCGTTTGTTAAAGACAAAAGCGTTTCATTTGTGCGTTGGATATCCGATAGCCACTCACTGGCATGCTCGGAATTAGGCTCGGATGACAGACAAATAATTGGAATCAGGGCCGCCTGAAACAAAAAATACAACGCGTACCACACCGAGATTGACGTATGCTGAAACATTGTCAAAAACTCAGTCACCAGTCCAATGGTCTCACGTGCGCTTTGAATGCAAATGCGTCGTGCTTGAACTTCAGCTTCACTTAACGTCGACTTGTCACCCGCCAGCAGGATATGCTGTAGTACAAACGGCCGGAAAATAATGATTTGAAAGTTTTTAATGCGCCACAATAGCCGATACTTGGTGAGAACAGGCCATTGCAGATACGTGTCAATGTATACAGTCGGTTGGAAATAATTGGGCAGCTCAGTCATAAACTTCTCAATTGTCTTGTTAAACTCTAATGACTCTTCGGCCGATGGACTCGGTTTAGCAATCAACCGGTTATATATGCTGTTAGTTATGAGACAAAATTTAGACTGATAGATTATGCCGGAATAAATAGTAGGTGCATCGATTTCCTTTGGCACTATCTCGGTTTCCGCGGTGAGTTGGTTGTCATTAACGTTGAGCGGCAGTTTAGCATCGACAATCTCGGGACCAGGCAGGTTAATTGGGCGGCCAAAAGTCACTGCAGCACCAGCATCAAACATGTATAGTGTCCACCACACGCGTCGCCGAATCTCCAGCTTAAGAGGGCTGGATTTCCAGTTGGGGAACTCACGGTACAGACCCAAGCCAAGCGCCATACGAATTGCTAGTCCAAGATAGTTCCAGCCCGTGTTGGGTTTGTTGCGCTTTTGTACATAGTTGGAAAGCAGCGTGAGCGCCTGCACCAAAGGCAGGTTTCCGGTTTCGAGAATGTTGGAGCTGAGCTGCGAGCGGGCCTGGTGGTAGTATATAAGATCAGCGCTGCTGCTCTCATGGTTTATGCACCATGACCCAAGCGCCAGAATAGCGTTATAAAGTAACTCCCACACGTCGGGGCGCGGTCGCAGCAGCTGGCCCTCATACTGGGCGCGAAACGTAGGCTCGTGAATTATCGGGTATGATGAATTGTAATAGGCGAAAAAGGCATCGATAAGCGTGTCGCTGATCATTTTGGGAACTGGTGTTGTCGTCAAGGAAAGCAGCTGGGCACGGATCTGGTACTCGGTTGCGTCATCTTCCTCCGATGCAAGCGGCATATCCCACGATGGGGGTACGTGCAGTGCACGCAGCAGCACTGAGCTGGAAGCTTGACCAAAGTAGCCGGTACCCTGAGGGTTAAGTGACAGTGCTGCCATACCGTCGGTGAGCTCGTTGCCCTTGAGCTCTTCCTCAACCCAATCAAACCCATCAGCTTCGTCGGGTACTTCGTCATTAGGGAGCACAGGTCGGTGTTGCAGCTGTGATTCCAATTCTTTTTGTTGTTGTGGTGGTGGCTGTTGTCTCGTCTGTGCCGGTGGAGCGGAACGCAATACAGTTTGATGTCGAACATCCTTAGAGAGTAGTTTATCAATATCAGCATTGGGCAGTATGTTTGATATCAATTGTTCAAGACGGCGTGCACGTTCTTCGACTTGGGTAAGGTGGCTTCTAGTAAGTGGAGAGCGCACTGTCTTGGGGGAGTATTTGCAGGTGCGGTTGTACTGCACACACTTGGAGCAGGCTGGAAGCTCTTTAGAACACTTGAGCTTCCTGATCCGGCATGAGTCACACTGGTTAATTAGTTAGTAAGAGAAGGGGAGAGGAAGGAATGAAATTTTGGAAGGGCAGTATTGACAAACGACAGCCTTAAACGGATTACAAAAAAGAAAAAAAAAAAAAAACAGGGTACTAAAAGGCGTTACAACGGCGAAGGCGCTAAGCAGCGTTGAAGGAGGAGACTTACCGCTTGTTCAATACCAGAATCTAAAGTATTGAGAGTGGAGGCCATATTGAAGCGTTGATACAAGAAAATTCTTAGAAAAATGCTAAGATCGTGTGTAAATATCAAAGAAGAAGAAGAAAAAAAAAAAAAAAAAAAAAACCAGTTGAATAAGAAAGCACAGTGGCAAGTTCAAACTGAGAAAAACGCAGAGTACCAAAAGTTGACATGTTTGAAGGTCCCATTTTGTTCATCATGTTTTTGGGTCTTCAACGAACCAAAAAAAAAAACGAAAAAAGAAAATCTGAAGGAAAAAAAATATTTTTTGTTTGTTGTCGATTAAGGCTCATTGCCACTTTGGTTATACGAAGACCCGAAAGCATTTAATGATAATCGCATGTAAGCTGAAAAGCTTTGCAATACGTAGACAGTTCTATCTATATATGCGTACTTTGTGCAGTTTTATTATTGGTGTTACTGGTCAGTTTACAATGTTGGTGGTGTCTTGTTTCTCCCCCCTTTTTATTTTTTTGTTTTTTCAACTTCATGACGGTGGTAACTTTTAAAAATGAATCAACAGAAAAAAAAAAAAATATACAAACAAATTTTCAATCAAAAGGGATGATATTTGTTGAAATTTTAATATTAAAAAAAAAAAAAATACAAGGTGATTCAAGGCTAATAGCTGTTTGTTTTTCTATATATAACAAATGCAGTCATTCTATCGCCTGTCTTGACGGTTTTTTTTGTTTTTTTTTTTTCAAACGGCACGTAGTTGACTGGGCCTGATTCAGGTACCAATGGGAGAAAAGGTCTGAGATGCGTTAATCCTGGTAAATCGATATAAAACACTGATAATTATCATAAACCTCCAATAACGTGGGTTTATAGATGGAAAATCTGTTTCTTTGCTCTTACCATCACATAGTTACATAACTAAAATGATAATAACAAAGATATATAAAAAAAAGACACTGAATTTAAAAAACATTTGTCTGTACGAAACTTTAAAATAAGCGTTTTCAGCGCGTGCTTTCTCCATGAAATAGTGCATGTGTTAAGGGAAATCTGGTATACAAAACACCTGGAAGGTACAGTATGTACCAAAGATTTACATGTAGTAAAACCTTGACAGACTGTTCTAATCAAGCAAATTGATTTATCTTTATATTTAAATTTGAATAAAATATGTATAGCTCTTTAGAGTTCTTGTTATTATATGTCTTTAAATACATATATTTGCTACTTTCGTTTTCGAATAACCATTCAACCAGTTTTGTCAGTGTTAGCATTGTCGAGCTAGTCAGTGTGGTGTGCATTGAAGTCTCCCGCTATAATCGTATTTTCTATCTGTATGTTTTTATGAATTTTCATGAAGTACTTAAGCGCTTCTTCCTTGTTTGGTCCGACTTTTTGATTGTAGATATAAAATCTGTTTATTGTCCATACATCACATAGTTACTTGGTTGTAAATATTAATAATTTTGATGTAGCTAATTTTAATTGCTATTAAATCATTGTCAGTATAATTCAATTTAATGACCATGCCTTCCAGATTTGAGTACCTCCTCACGTAAAAGGTTTTCTTGCTCTGTCTACTTGACATGAAAAACTACTCGTCCATTGATACAGATTTGTTTTAATACAAAATATGAACAGGCAATCTGGCCGAGTTGGTCTAAGGCGTAGGATTAAGGTTCCTATCTCTTCGGAGGCGAGGGTTCGAATCCCTCGGTTGTCATATTTTTGATAAAAAGTTTATTTTACGTTCTAGGAGATATCATGATCCTTAGTTTTGTTGAAAACACAAGTTTTTTTTTCTTTTTTTTAATGATCGGAAAAAATCACTGGAATTCAAAAACTTTTATCTCAAAAAAAAAAATAATCAAAGTAACTTTGAACAAAGTGAGATTATAATTTCTCTGTGGTATGAGTTTTGAGGTTTGGTGAGCTTAACCAGTAAGAATATCAACCAAAGTATCATCACCAGAAATTGGTTTCTTTCAAAACGAATAAATGTAAATTCTTTTTTGTTTTTCATCACTTCATATTCATGAATTTTCACATGTAGGTATCTACAAAACTCATTTATTGCCCTTACATCACATAGTTACATAATTAAAATAACAATAACAAAAGATATATGCAAAGAAGCCATTGAATTCAAAATTGTCTCTATGAGACTCATAAATTTGTTAATCAATCAAATTGAAAAGAAAAGAGCAAATTTATGTAGTTTTATAAATTTTCTATTTTACCTATAATACTATGGTAAGGGTATTGATCTGGAGCTTGTTAACTACAATGAGAAAACAAAAATTTTCAAGTTTTTATTTTCAAAAAATAGCCTTTTTTTTTTTGTTCAAAACTATTTTTTTTTTCCTAGAAATCAAACTTACCCAATTTAAAAGTTTCAATAAAGCTTTGTTAAATAGATATCAAAGTAATTGATTGAATATGCTGTTGTAACTAGGGGTTAAATGTTGATACCAACCTTTGTTATGGATTTTTGTTGTAAAAAATAATATTAAAATCAAAGGACACTTGATTTTTCTGTGATTTTATTATAAAACAAATTTAAAAATGAAGCGCCGTTATAATCGATACCTATCAAATCGTCTGATTTATTTTTTTTTTTTTTATATTGTGTACGTCAATAATAAGTACCACAATGTAGTACTATGTAAGCAACTCGTTACCAATATTATTTCCTATACAAACTGTACAAACTTTTATCAGATCAAAAAAAAAAGAATTTAATCATAAATATATATACGTAATATTTGGCTTTTTGAGGTGTTTTTTTATCTATTCTTATTTCAATTTTTTCTTCTTATTTACTCGCTTTTGTTCACGCAGGAACAAAAAAAAAAAAGTTAAAAAGAGATCTAGACGGGACTCGAACCCGCAATCACTACCGCATTCCAAACCGGAAAGTAGTACCTTACCATTAGGCCACTAGACCAAATTTCAACAATTTATAGTATCAGACTTATATTATCACATCCAATCAGTTATTCACAACAATTCTTATATCTTTTTTTATTGTCTTGAGACGATGTTAAAGCATCCAATTTTTTAATAAGACAAACGCATACGTTGGAAAATTCATAAAATGGTATTCAGGCTTTCCAGCTGTCCACATTCGCAGTTATAATCTCTCTCAATAATACGCCTCCTTTGGAAATACTTCCCAAGAGCACCATGACCTGTTCGCAGTTGGAATAACTCGCTAAAGGTATGGCGAGACACAGTCAACAAAATATTTCAATTCTTTTTTTTTTAATACGTATAAGATTCAGAAAAAAAAATACATTTATTTACTTATTTTTTGGTTGATTATTATATATTTTTGTTGCTTTTTTCTTAGGTCAACTAATTGAGATTCGTGATTTGAGATGGATGATAATGATTTCGATAGAAAATCTGTATATTGTTCTTACATCACATAGTTTGATAATGATTTCATACAACTGACTTTTCAACGTTTGAGTGAGCATTCTAATATGACATGTATAAACTTCCTATATGGGTAGAACACCTGGGTTACTATCTGTGGTTTATCGCATTGACTGACTAATGGTAACTTTTTTTCATTATACAATATTTTGTGCAAAAAAATATATCACTGTTGTTGAGTCTTTTTTTTTTTTTGCAAGATTTTGTTGTCTCAATTTAGGTAAATGTAAGACTGTAAATTAACAAACATAATAAACTCCCAAATTTATTATCATTTTATTATCATTTTATTATCATTTTATTTTATCTTATTTTTTATTTATATTTAGTAGTAATATCTTTTCTTATTCTCGCTTACTTGGCATTTTACACTGATTTTTTGGGCATATTTTTATTTATATTTATTTCACTGAATCAACACATTTATGTACTGTCTATATTAAAATAAACACACAATGAAAAAATCCATTAGAAACATTATTAACTGACTTTTTTTTTTTTTTCATATATCCAACTACAGTCTTATTTTATTTTCATTATAGAAATAGTGAACTAATAAAAATAATTTTGCAAAAAATAAATTTTTTTTCTATAACACAAATGAAAAACAAAAGAAATAAAAAATAAACCAACAATATACAAATATTCTAAAAACAATAAAATGCGACTTTTGCACAATTTCTTTTTTAACTGTAGTCTTCATCATCAGAAGAACCCAGGAATTGTGCATAGTCATCCGCCGAGGCGAAAACAGGAAGATCTTTGAGTTTCTGCTTCTTGGACTTCTTCTTAGGAGGTTTATCTTGCGGCTCTTCAGCATCAGATGCCTCAGCTCCCTCCTCATTGTCGGAATCAAGCGCACGCTTATTTCCAGCCTTCTCAAGCTCTTTCTCAAACATCGCTTCAAGTGCAGCTTCGTCATCCTCGTCGTTGCTACCGATTGAAATCTCTTCGTCAGAGTCGAGCAAACCTTCTTCATCATCAAGCTTCATGTCATCATCGCTCTCATCTTCGGCGGCAGCAGACTTATTATCTTCTTCTTCATCGTCATCCTCAAGATCAACGTCTTCCTCGTCTTCTTCGTCATCAAAGTCGGAAAAGTCGCCCATACTCAAATCGTCATCCATATCATCCTCAATATCAGGCTTGCTACTGACAAGAGCCTTCCAAACTGCATCCTCATTAAGTCCATCTTCGTCAAGATCACCGCTTTTTTCGCTCGTTTTCTTCTTAGATCCACCGTCACGTTTGCTCTTGGCAACAAAGTAGTTGTAGAAAAAGCGCTCACCAACATCGACATTTTCAATCTTCATATTGGCCCAGTCACTGATGTTAACAGGTTTCATGCTGCGCGAGCGGTCGGCACCAAGTACAAGTCCTGTGGAATCGGAACCAGCAAGTGGCTGCATGATACTGCTACCATGAACCACAGTCTTTTGCTTGGGGTTACGGTACACAAATCTATCCAAAAAGTGTGACAGACCATGCAAAGACAAATCCGGCTGACCGAGTTTTACTGGCTTACCGTTTTCGCCGATCTGTGGTTTACCCACTAGGCTGTTGGCATAGAGCTCGATTGTGGGATGGAAGTGGTGCAACATGGGAATCAGTTCCCACAACTTGGTGTTACCAGCATTGGCAAAAATAGGATCACGCTTTTTGCCGTCATAAACATCCTCAGCCTTCTTCTCTTTTGTTTCAAGTTTCTTAGCCTCGCTAACGTTGAATATGAGTTCACGAAGTCTAGGTGTAGACTTAGACAATTCAACAAGCAGGTAAAGAACACCAGCAACAACACCAACATTAAGCCAATGATCAGAAATCTGTACCAGTCTTTTCGCAAAAGCCTTCACGCGCTCAATATTAACATCCTGCTTGATAGCTTTAAACAACAAGTTAAGGTACAATCTGAGCTTAGATGACACAGAAAGTCTCGGATCAAGCAAACTTTCGTACAGGGTTTTGTAGAATCTGTCGCTTAGACCCTGATCCTTTTTAGAGATTTGAAACAACAAGATCAAAGCTTGGACACTAGTGTTGAAGTTGGCAGAGTGCGTAACTCTATATAAAGTGTTGATATGCGAAAGAAGCAGATCCTCAGGAAGCTCAGAAAAGGGGAATGCTCTGTTCATACCGGTAAGAATGGCAGAAGTGAGCTTGTTAGTCTCTTCCTCCTTAACAGCCTCTGAAGTCTTAGCCATGACACGCTCACCACCATGCTTACCCTTGTTGCCCTTATTCTTCCATCTAGGTTTCTTGACCTTCTTGACTTCAGCTTCAGGAACAGGCTTTTCGTTGTTCCACTCAGCAAGCAAACGCTCAAAAAGAGATAAGTAGGTTCTCATCAATGAATTGGCAACGTCAATCTCCTTGTGTGCAATGATAGTTTGGTTAAGAGTAATAACCGAATAGTATCTAGAATGATAGTCTGAGCCGGGGCGGAAGAGAAGATCCGAAATAGAAGTAATAATAATGTTCTTCATAGCCGGGTGTGCCTGCTGAACTTGCAGAAGTAGGTACGAAACACGAGATGCAACCTTTTTGTCACTATCACCAAGCTTGTTGACACCAAGACGAAGTAGGTTTGCCTCCTGTTCAGGCTTAGTTTTAAGCAAATCAAAGATATGCAAAACTGCATTTGATCTGACATAAGGAACAGTGTCATGCGAAAGAACCTATGATAGTTAGCAAATAATAAATACATATGTATATGTAAAAAAAAAGAGATGATGCACTTACCTCAAGAATTTGAATTAGAGAAAAGAAGTACTGTTTTAACCAATCTTCAAATGCCCAAACAATGAGCAGCTCAGGAGATGTAAAACTTGAAAGACCAGGCTGATTCTTGAACCATCTGAGCTTTCTGTCAGGAAGCACATTACCCTGTACAAAGATATCCTTAAGAGCTGCAATACTCTGGAGTGCACCGCCTCTCGACTTTTTCCGGCACAAACTTAATAGCGACGTTAAGTACTTGACTGAGTGCAATGGCGACTCCTGAATGAGAAGTGAGTAAGCGCCGATCTTATCTGAGAGAGTACCTGCAGTGAGCAGTTGTGACAAAAACTGTTTCTGACTGTTGGACTTGTTGTTTTCGTGAGTGAAAAGCTCATTTTCCTTAGCAAGCAAGTTCTTAGCCTTTTCATAAAGACGTTCGATAAGAACAGGCGAGGGCGCAATTTCGACAGGTTTAGGCTCAGGCAGTTCGTGGTTGTACCATTCGGAGCGCGGAGTAAGAATAAGTTCGTACTTTGAGTGAGATGCATTGAAAACAGACTCCGTAGATTCGATGGTAGCCATTTCGTTCATAATCTGATCGATATCGTTGGAAGTAGACTGGTTAAACTGGGGTTTGCGCTCGTCAGTTTTCTCCTTTTTGTCCTTCTTGTCAAGTATGTTGGTATTGTCAGATTTTTCCTTTTTGTCGATTTTATCAGTCTTCTTGTCAACCTTTTTATCTTCTTTGTCCTTTTTGGCCTCTGCCTTCTTCTCTTTCTTTGACTTAGGCTTCTCCTCGACAAGGTCAGGAACCTCGGCGTCTTCGTCATCGTCAGCCACTACATCGATATTGCTGGAGCCGTCGCCTTTAAGACCAATTTCGTTCATGAACTTGAAGATGTCGTTGTCAAGGCTCTTTTTGTTTCCAATCTTGGTGTCTTTCTTGTCGGCAGAGTCATCACCAAAATCAATGACGGAGCCCTCTCCATCAGAGTCAGCCACAAGATCAAGATCCTTTTCGTCGCCACCAAAGGCTTTGATCTCTCTCAACAGAACGCTCTTGTCGTCCTTGTTATTTCCGGTAGGATTGGCAGGCTTGACGTCTTTTTTGAAATCCTTCTTCGGCTTGAATTTGCCGTCCTTTTTAGAAGCGTTCTTTTTGAAAGTATCTTTTTTAGAAACATCTTTCTTAAAAGCCTCTTTTGTTGAAGAGTCTTTATTGTTCTTGTTATCTTTTTTGCCAGCCTTCTTGCCAGTAGCAGGCTTAGAGTTTTTGGTGTCCAGCTTATTCCTGATCTTATCACCAAGCTTAGCTAGAGCACTCTGACTAGGCACACCGTCACTCATCTTTGCAAAAAAAAAAGTAGTCTTATAACAAAGATGAAAAAGAAAAAAAAGACAAAATAGAAGAAGTCGAGAAAGTGGGTTGTTGTTGGTGCTTCTATAGATCTGGCTTGAACTTTGGTGTTAAATTAGAAAAGTGAAAAATTATTTTGTCCCAATTCACTACCCAAAAAAAATTTTCTATGAAAGATCAGATAATGAGATTTAAGCGTATATTTGAGAACGGGTATAATTTAGAACTAACATAAAAAAGTTGATATTACTATGTTTGAAAATTTCATGTGTTTTATATAATAATTATTTTAACTATTATTTTAATTATTAGAACTTGAATACTTTTGAAAACATTATTAATGTGCAATTTGAAATAAAATTATATTATAATGAATAGTATTGGAAGTAACAAACTATCAGTTTTAAATAAAAAAAGCCTTGATGGCCAAG